ACTTTTTACAAGCTCCACATATGTACACATAGCATATACACATGGATTCCCTCATGGTTTTGACAACAAAAATGTGACTTTGTTTAAAGCAGACAGAGATTTCAGAGCCCTTCACGAAATTTGGGTATGCAAATGGGAAGAAGTGAAATACACATTTTTACCCTTAACAACAGCAAAACTGCTATATATATACTACGAAAAGTTAGACTCACCAACATTAGATGTTTTTCCTCTTTACTTCCTTTTGCCGTGATGTGAAAACGCTGCTGCTACCATCCTCTGAGATCGAGGTAGTGAAGTTCAGCTGTCAGAAAGATGCAAAACACCTCCATGCTGCAGCAGCCTCGTCTATCCTGGCAGCAGATCCTCCGAACTGAATGCACTTAAAATCACTTTGACATCATACAAATAACCCAAACTGCTCTCCGTGTATATAAATATTCTTTATACATTACATCCATGTTACATTCAAAAGAAATAGAAATACAGCCAACAGCAAAAGTCACATTCAAGTCATTTCTGTGCTGCGAATTGCGACGTCGACACCCAGCCTCCTAAGGCACCAAAAAAATCAAATGACCCAAATGACCTGGGTCGAGAACAGAGTCCCAAACCCACCCAAAACCCCACAACCCAAACACCACAGGGCTCCTGGAAGCTCAACAGAATGGTATACAGACAGAAAACCACAATTTTCAACAGCCGTATTTATACCGGCACAAAATATCTGAGGATCAGTTCTTTGTGGTCGCCCAGCTAACACCGCTGGGCTAAACACATGCTGATATGCCGGCTTGTACCAGCACTGAAACGGAACATTTAACTATAACATTAAAAAAAAAAACGTTCATATGTGCTGCATCATTTTGTGAACCTAAAACCTTACTATCATTCTGACATCAGTTGTTTTGTGCTATTTTGAAATCTGGCTAATTTGAGAGTCCTGTATGCCAAATGATTAGATTTGCAGAAAACATAAAGCAGGACATGACATATACACAGTTTAGCAGTTTTGAAAAGATCCTGTTTGAAATTAAAACCAATACAACCTCCTTTAGTCCACCTCTAAACCCAGAATAACTCAGTGTTAGCATGCTAACAACGTTACAATAAAATCAGCATTTTAACATTCTTAACATAACTTTACACTAACTGCAATCATATGCATGTCCCAACAGTAGGATGTCAACATGCTAACAGTAAAGTTTTAGCATGTTAGCACAACTCAACGTTAGTGCAACTGAGGCTGATAGAGTAAAATTAAAAGTGAAGGACTGAACCTGACAAGAAGCAGCTGGATGTTGAATTGAACCTGAAGGTGAGTTCAGACTGTGCAGGAGGAGAATTTTGATTCTGATTCACACAAATGTGGCTGTTTGTGTAGTCTGTCATTATAAATCGACCATAGTAGTGTGCAGATATTAGATATATCCAGTTTGCAATAGCCAGTTGGAGATTTATTCATTTATTCATTTATTTCGCTGTCACCTAGTTTTAGTCTGTCTTAACCAGTTCTGGTCATTGATTTATTGACAGAGCTGGAGCCTTGCTGCCCATTTTGTCTCAGTGGTTTGCTGTATTGCAACAATAAAATCCTCTGCAGGCCATAAAGAAAGCCTTTTCCCCATAGACCTCCAAAATATGCCATAAAACTGTTGACAAGAAACCTCCAATTGCAAATACTGAACTGCAAAGTAACTGTCCTTTATCATTTTTTAAATCAAACTACAGTCATCTGATAAGTACTCACATATCCCATGGATATGGTTAAGTTTTTCCTAATTTTTCAAACAAGCAAACATTTGGTCTACTAACTGTGCTGTTTCATGGAGATGACACGTAAAGTAATGACACGTAAAATTGACATTTTATAGACACTCTCCAGACTTCTCTTTACAGTACTGTGTCAGCACTGGAGAATGGTCTGACTGCACCTCTTTATCATTCTGTTATATGGGAGAAGAAGATGCTCTGGTTTCCTTTATTTTACTGTAAACAAATCACCATGGGTGCTGAGCCCAGGATGCAGCAATGGTGCATCAGTGACACTTGTTCTGGTGGAACATTGGCATGCAAAGAGGTGAGTATTGTCTTCAAAATAGCTGAATCACGTGAAGAAAAGAAAAAAAAAGACTAGCAAGGATGACTTTTTTGGTAGGCTCTGACAACAAGCCACCATGACAGGCTGCCAGAATGAGGACCTGAAAAAGACCCCTAACACCTCGCACCATTCATACAAAGACTTCAAACTGGACACTGCACTTCCTCAGGTCTGCAGCAATACAAACGCCAAGTCTGAGTTCGATGCACAGATGTGTAGTGGTCAAAAATCTAATCACAGACACCCCGACGGGCAGAAATGATTCTTTTAGTGAAATTAATATCCACGTAAGGAAAATCAACTGCAAGTGGTGCACATATTAAACAACTGTCAATTTGTCCCAGATCAACCACTTCAGCAGATCAGTTGATGCAAAAATTCTGAAATCCCACAAATTTCAATACAGGTTCTGTGGGTAACTCTCTGAACTGCTGGTGCCCAAGCTGGTGCAAAATGCATGGAAGTTGTTCCAGGGAATAGTCTTTCCAGGAGGAACATAAGACCAGAACTACAGTTCACCAGGGAACCTACATGTAAAGGGCTGTGCTTCTGGAAAAATGTGCTCTGGACAGATGAATCAAAGACAGAGTTATTTTGTCATAGTAATAATAGATAGGCACAGACCAAGAACAGCTGCTTAGAAGAAGAACCTCAGACCAACTGTAAAGTTTGGTGGTGGAGATGCTATGATTTGCTTTGCTGCCTCAGGGACTGGGCATCTAACAGTCAGCGATTCAACTATGAATTCGGCATCGTTACAACAGGAGAATAATCCAAAGCTCACAGTTCATCCATCAAGAATGTCTCAAAAAGAAGAATGACAGTTTTGTTTTTGTATGATCTAGTTTAAAAGCCAAATTTAAATCCCATTTCAAATCCTGGCAATACACAAGAAAACTCTCAAACACCTTGCAACTGGAGACATTTTGCATAGAAAAGTGGTTAAAATTTTCATCAAGCTTATGTCAGACGCCTAAAAGAAGTTATTTCTGCTAAAGTGTACAACACAAACTTCTGATGCCACAGCAGAATACTGTAACAAAGAGGCTCATATGTCTGCTTATCCAAATAGGTTTAAAAAAAAAAGCCAACAATTTACTTTCTTTTTCACACAACTGTAAATATGCAATCTTAAAGGGTTAAGTCTAAGTGTACTTGCAACAGTATGCTCCACTGCATAAATCTCACAGGCATTTTCTTTCACTATTCTTTATGGATGCAGCTACTTTTGTCAGACAATGAGATCCCCTCTCACAAAGCTTGGATCAGTCTGTTGTTTGAACTCTGCATCACTGCACCATTGTGTTCTGCTTCTCAGTTTGCCTTGTATAGAGACGCTGCATTTTGTTCCTAGTTGCTGTATGTACAGCTACGTGCATGTACATAACAATGATATGTTTTTATCTGTCTTCATATATTCTTGTCCCCGTGTCTCAGATATTTCTCCTATGAAATTTGTCTAGAACTGTAAGTATATTCTAAGCAACAGAAAACTGGTGTCAACTTCCTTGTATATGTGTACGTACTACAACTGAAATCCACTTTGCTTTAAAGTTGCAGTGTGAAACTGTTCTCCCTTCCTGTTCTGACATTGGCATTGATTGATTTCAACTGGAATCCTTCCTCTAAAGTTACTTCTTGGACACCTCCTAAGTTCTTCCACTACATTCCCAGTGGTTGTAGTCTACTGCATCTCCATCTTCTTTAGCTATGGCAAACCAAACTTTGCCATTTGATGTAAAACGCTTCACTACTGGTGCATCAGCATGGGTATGGTGGAAAATTTGGCACCAATAGAATCAGTCTGGATTGTGTGAATGTCCTGCACTCCAGCTTTAAGTCTGAACACACCATCACAAAGTCCAGGTTAGCCTGATGAAAGCTCATCCTATATTTGAACTTTTACATCCTCACTGGGATGCTCACATGGCTTTAGATGAGCTGCTGTGTTGCCACACGGTTATAATTTGGTACTAATCATGAGGAAAACCACAGCAAAGCTGTGTATCTGAGTCAATCCTGACTTCATCAACAGGTTGTTGATTTCAAGAAGAGTTTCATTAAAATAAGTGCTCTATTTGAACCCAACTAAGCCCAGGTACATTTTCATCACTTATTAAGTTATTATTGGAAACTGGCCTCTATTTTTCTTATAATTAGTACCAAGTAGTTTAATTAGTAGTTCTTATTTGGAAGCTCCTCATTCATGTACAGTTACTAATCGTCTGTATAGCATAGATAGTTTCAGCCCTAATGCTGCGTTTCTGTCACTAACTTTTGTAATTTGTCCCAACTGAGCAACTCTGACTTCTCTGAAAGATCCCAAATATCTGATGCTAAATAATATCTAAGAAAGCCAACATGGATGGATGCTTCAAATCAGCCAAAGTCTGATTAATCATAGTAATTAAAGCTAAATGTAGGGAACATAGTGCTATATTTACTGTGCACAGTTTGCTTTACCCCTCAGTCGGCCAACCCTGCGACCCTAAACCATCATGAGATGTGAGACCATGTGCTTGCAAGTTGTAAACCTGATCATTTTTTCCATCTCTTTCTTCTGTTCCACAAGACATGAATTCTGCACAGTAGCCTGAAAAAAGAAAGGGTGGATATCAGGGTGGTTCATGTCTGCCTGCACCACAAAATCAACAGAGTAAAACATAAAGGCACCAACACAACATGTGGGATACCTAAAGATTAGTTTGAGGACCGGCCCCAGAGAAGATGAACATTTTAGAACCAATTAGGAAAACACTTGGGAACAGGAAAATCACAAAACCGAAAAAAAAAAAAAAAGAAAAAATCAGATTGTGTAAAGTTCCCAGCATAGCTCAGATTGTTTCCACCAAGTGTAACCCATCAGATGTTTTGTTCCTGCATAAATACCACTTGGTGTTTACACTGATGTTACACGAATCACAACCTCCCCTGAGTCAGTGTCCTGGCTGAGGTTGTTTCGGGGCACCAGTCCGGGGCAGAAGGGCGCCAGACAGAGGCAGGTCCACGGCTGTGAGCCCAGCTGGGTGGGGTGTAAAGGACCGCTGGGGCCAAAGGTGGCCAGAGGCAGCCAAAGCGTCCTGGGGGCCAACGAAGAGTGGCCAGTACTTGTCTCCTCCATGTCCTTGGCCTTGTCGTAGCTCTGAACGTCCCAGTGGAGGTTTACAGCCCGCCAGCGCATGAAGACGTTGTACACTGCTGCCCCCTCATGGACAATCAAGCCTGGTATAATGACAGTGACACATTAAACGGAATACTGATCTTGTAATTTACCTCTTTTTTTTTTTAAATCTGAAAACAAACTCAAATTCCACTAAAAATAAGCTTTAACAAAAGATTTTGAGATTTAATAAACTCAAAGCAGTTTCTTTTCTATTTCCAAGCAAGCAACGATGTCAACACAGCACAGTTGACTTTTTTTTTTTTTTTTGTAAATGTTTCGTCAGTATAAAATAGCACTTGGAGTTTGAAGTCAGATTTATGGTCTCTCTGATCTGCATGTCAGATGGTTGGATAGTGTCAAAAAACCCAACACCTCTCTGACTGACAGAAGAAGTCTGTCTTGATCATTTCATAAACTTTCCAAAAATCTGACCTTTACTCCCACTTGACACTGAGTGGAGCGAACCAGGCACTTCACATCTTTCTACCTGTGTTTTTACTTGTTACACAACTATTTGTATGAAAATATGCACCATTATTTTGCGAGACAAGAAATGAGTACAACTAGTAAAATTTCACTTAAATGTCATATAATTTAAAACTGTATCACCTCTCAACAACTGCAAATATCAAAGTATTTCCTCTTGTGAGCAATCAAAAACAAAGACTTTAGAAAGACTGTATTGAAAATTCAGGCCCCAAAGTAGAAACTCAGTGCAACAAAAGTGAATCCAGCTGTGACCACTGAAACTAAACTGAGTCCACCAGTGATTTCTAATCAGTCTAACTGCATGAACATGGTTCTAAACTGAGCTGTGAACAGCAGAACTTTCTTAGTCTTCTCTGTCTATCAGCATGTCTGTATCATGGCTCTACATGGAAAATAAATTTCAAACTCTGACTGAGAGACTTCACAAGATGGAAAATGATGTATTAAGATCAGTGAGCAACTAAATATCAGTGAACCACAGTGTCAGCAGTGATCATGAGGTATAGAAGGAGCAATGATGCCGCTCGTCAGAGTTGCAGTGGTCGTCCTCCTGAAATGACTCCACAACTACTTTCACTATCTAGCTGTAAAAAACAGACGGCAGCTGCTTCAGACTTGGCACAGGAGTTATGAATGGAAACCAGAGTTTATGTGAAGCTCAGTGTAAATAATTTTGCTTGCTTTTCAGTAAGAAAATGCAGAAATAAAGTCTGCTGAAGAACATTAAAAGTAGCCTGATGAATGTTGGAGAACATTCTTAGGTTAGAATAAAAATTTGTTGTTCTCAGATGGAGTCCAGCATGTTTGGTGTGAACCTGACCAGGACAGTGAATGCATCGTCCTGACAGTGAAGCACAGAGGAGGGAGAGTGATGGTAAGAGGCTGCATGAGTGTAAAATGTGTTGATGACATTTATAGATGAATGTCTGAGGATAAACCAGAATACTGGCTGACAGGGGTGTTAATAACGTAAATCTTTTTGTTATATCTAATGAGTGTACATGCTGTTTCTGTTAGTCTTACCTGATTGGGATTAAGCTCAGGCCAGCCTGTAAATCTGCCTTGATTTCTTTTGTTTTGTTCTGACTTTTCAGGGTCACATTTATCACATTAAAATAACATTTTCTCTGTATTCTCTGTGAACTGCTTCGTATGTATTTGACACCTGAGGACGCTCACCTACGCAGACCAGGTCCATGAAGCCGTACATGCCGTAGCAGATCTGGAAGAGGACGTCGCGGCGCTGCCAGATCGCCTGCGGACTGAGAGCCGACCACAGCAACCAGGAGATGCTGGCCACCAGGAAGAGGGAGCCCAGGAACACTGCGATGATCTGCACCTTCTCCACCAGCGTGATGGTGATGGACTGCCACTGCATGAGATGGACCGAAATACAAAACATAGATTGTTTGTCTCAATATGGTTTCAGAGCTTAGTCTTTTTCCCTTTTTTTTCAGGATCATTGGGGACATTTTAGCCACTAACCAGCACAGCAAAAGCCAAACAGTGCACTTGAGACAATTAATCAAATCCATCATTTATTTGTACTGAGTCACTCTCAGCGGTGGAAACTCCTCTCCTCCTCCTCCTCCTCACCATCACACCTCTGTTATTTAAGGCTTTAAAAACACCCATCCATCCTTCACACAGGTAGCAGACTGACAATGTCAAAAATGTAAGATTACTAAATAAATTAATCAAACTGTCGATGCAGAAATGCTGCTACAGTCACGGAGTCTGACCTATTTTAACATCATCATTAAAAAAAATCTGCCTGTAATATCACTTTAAAAACACATTAGAATAAAGAGACTGACATTACCTCTCAGCAGGATGTTATAAATAATGTATACAGCATAGGATGAGTAGCTTCACATAGATTTGGAAATATCAGCTCATTTACTTAATATTTATAGTGCCACAACAAATGTATTTTAGTAATGCAACCACAGTGATGTGTATGCATTAAGTACATATGCAACAGTAGCCACTGGTATGCATTTCCCTTTATGTGTTGTCCATTAACTCTATGCATGAAGGCTATATATATGTATATATATACGATACGCCTCCAAGGAGCTCTGCTAAAGACTGCAACCACGCTGCGCAAATAAAATGCACTGAAAGAAAACAAAAATCCTGGTGAAGTTCTATAGAGACTGCAAACAAATTTACATCCATCAAGGTGTCAAATCTAAAGCCTGATTTTGAACTAAATCTATGTTGAATTTTTTTTATAACCAGCTTTGAGCATCAATATTATGGGATGTATGATAGTCTGAAGAGTAAAACTGCAGCAGTTTAATGTCTATGACATAGAGTGATAGAAACAATCATTGGTACCCTGGATGTGTTTCTGTTTTCTGATCATTCACCAGACAAACTTTTAACAGGTGCAGGTAAACTTTCAAGGCTTATATCAGCATGTGTGATGGCAGTTGGTCAGAACAAGTTATGCACAACAAAACAATGAACTGACAATCGAACACGGATTAAACATACATCACAACCTGTCTCTCAGACAGTTACAGACAATGAAAGGATCATTTTACCAACAGAAGATACCAGGATCATCTGATAGACATGATCGCCACTGGTGCAAGACTAGAACAGATTTACTGTTGAAACTATGATAACATCCCATAATACTGATGTTCTAAGGTTGGCTACAGGAAAAATGAACAACACAGAGACTTAATGTTTAGACTGTGACTCCTGGATGGATGTAAAACTGATCTGGTTTCAGTTTTTTACCAGAACTCAAATGTGTTTTTCCTCCTAAAATGTCATGTGTCTATCTGCTGTACTGATGAAGTTCTTAGGCTCAGAAATGATGGAAAAATTCCATTAAAGTGATAAATGTGGACCCTCCTCTATGGACTTCAAGGGTCTGAAACTCTGAAACTATTCACAGTATGAAGGTAAAACTTTACTTTATTAAATATGCTAAAGTTACTGTAGATACAACCGGTGTCGCGCCGTCAGTTCCCGAGAGGCGTGCACGAGCGCAGCACGAGCCCATGAACGGTTGTGTTACGAGTTTTCCTTTGTTTATTTTTGGAATATACGTGTTTAATCAATTGCATGAATGTTCGTTGGAGTGTGTGGATATGTGTGTCGTTGTTTGTATGTGTTCTTTGTTTGGTAAGATTGAGAAACTTCGCTGGCTAGCTAGCTAGCTAGCGAGTTAGCGAACACGAGCCGAGATGAGCGTGCTGCTCCTTTCGCAGAGTGCTGTGCACGAGACGCCTGAGCCCGCTGACCAGAGTTCTTTATTACCAGGTGGACTAATATATGGGAAAATACAGTTCTGCATTCCGACTCTTAATAAAAACAAACACAACGCAGAGTCCAGGGGTTACATTTACATAAACAAATGGTAAAACTGAGTGACCAAAAAATAACGGTTTGGCCCGTTAGCTTGAAAACAAACACATCAGGACACGTTGCGTCACCGCAGTGAGCGACGTTATGAACAAAATTGTGACGTAAATCTAACCTCACTTCGTCCCACATTGAGCCACATGAAGCATCACGTCTATCTGAGGAGCCGCAAACAAGAAACAGACTCTCAGCGAAGTTCACAGCTTTCAAAACCGGTGAAGCTGTTACGTAAAAGTCGCTTCATCACCTGCGCCTCGACGCACCGCCGCAGTTACAGACTTGGACAGGACGCATGCGCAACATGACAGAAGAGCGCACGGACAAACCAACCTTTACGCAGATGGTAAACTAACATTGTCAGAAGTTTCACATCACTAACTGACTAAATAAGGCATTCAATCGCTTTTATTTTAAGTTGCAAATGCCGCAGGTGCAGAAACACACGTAGGCTGCACCTGTTGTCATCACAGCATCCAGGTGTCATGACAACAGCGAACCGGAAAATCACAGGTGTTCTTTTTGGTGCACTTTGGCCAAGTCTACACTTGTCATTTCACTTCTGAATTATTTTCAGACTCACTACATATTTTGAATGTAAAATAGGGGAAAAGAAATCAGGCTTTCTATCTGAAAACGACTTTAATGGTCGCTGATTAACAAATTAAAACAAAGCAGACACTAATTTAAAACAAATAATGAAATCAGTGTCATGTTTCAAATGTTAAAACCACACAGGGTAATTCTTTGTGTCTTCAGCTGAGGTTTTGCTCCAACTTTCAATTCTTTTAAATCAAAACTTTTTTTTGCTTATTTAATTTACATATTAGTTTTCTTCATATCTTGCACTGCACTGTGATCTTTACTCCCCTAACGTTTCATTTTGTATCCTCTCCTGTAGCAGATATTTATGTGATTACATGTTTTTACATTTTACATGCAAAATGTGTTTAAAATGACACATCCCAAAATCATGTGAATTTTCCAGATGTTAAATATCCAAAAAAAACACACGTATGATTTATTTTCTTGATGTTAAACGTGCGACTGGCACTAGTACTATTTGTTCTGAAGTCTGGTTTCAGTCCCTAGTGTGTTTAATGACAGGTTTTAAGGTTTTATTGATTACATTTAAGGCCCCTCATGCCCTTTCTTCCAGTCATATCTCTGACCTTTTTGTGCCATCTGCAGCAGGATGGCACAGGAATAACAATATTCTTTACCTTTTCAACACTGTTGTTTTTTTAAACCATGCTGCGTTTTTATATGTCTTTTAAATTATGATGATTTTAGTGATTTGTCTTGTTTAATTTTTTTTTTTTTGAAAAGTGCTCTATAGATAATGATGATTATTGCAAATTTTTAATACTGTCTTTACATGTAAAATCATAAAATACATGTCAGGGTTCTTCTAGTTTTACGGATACAACAGAAGCAATCACTGCAGCAGCGTCTCTGTCAGGAGAACTTGTGATGAATGTTTAAATCTGTCTGAAACTATTTCTGTCTCTGTTAAGGCACAAAGCCTGAGAGAAAGACTGAGAAGGAGCTGGAACAAAGTGGTGAACAGCACCATCCGCAGGACACTAAATGTAAGAGAAACACCAGGCGGAAGAGAACAACATGCTATGTGTCCTTTCTGCTGCTTCTAAGTGGTCAGAAAATAAATAAAAAGCAGGTTTAAGGTGTCAGCAGCACACTGAGTCTGTTTTCTCTGCCGTCCTGCAGGCAGCCCCCAGTTGGTTCCTGAGCCGTCTGAGAAACCACATCAGGACAAGTTACGCCAGATGCCGACAGCGCAGATTCATGACCAGGCAGTTCAACACCACCCTGAAAACGTGCTACGGGCACGGCAAAATCTCCAAAAGAGAGATGAAGGCGGCCAAGAAGAAGTGGAAGGACGCCTTGAAGAATGTAAAAGAGGAGGACAAAAGGAGGCGACCGCTCTGGGGAGAACAAATGTGTGTGTCAGAGCAAAATCAATAAGAAGAGAAAATAGAAAAGGGGAGAGTGGCGGAGGGGACGACAGAAAGCACAGAATAAACTTGATAAAAACAACTTGGAAACAGAAGATTGTTGACGACGAGCGGCTGACTGTGAAAAGATGCATGATGCTTGTTTCAGAGGGAAAGACTTGAGGCGGACTTTGTGGACAGAAACTAAAGCTCTGCTGAGCCTCGGCTGCGTGTTTGCTCAGGCTGCCAGTGACTCAGCTCCCATCTGGAGCGAACAGATATGAAAAGGCCTGAATGTTCTTCAGTGAAAGAAACGATCCAGAATGCAGATATTTTAAGCCTCGGGAGCCTCTGTCTGCTCAGCTTTGTAGGAAAAGGAGGACTGAAGGAATCCTAATGCTCCAAACTGACAGCAGAGACCTGAAGAGGGAACAGAAGCAGCTTCACAGTCTGAGTTTGCCTCCAGCGCCATCACCGTTTCTGTGTTTTCTTGAGAATAAACTCTTTACTGCAGTATTTTAGGTGCACAGCAGCTTTGTCAAATTTATGGTGAAAAATCCAAGCAGCAGAAGCAGATGCATTAAAATTTATAGTCTGTAATATGACTGAACTCTACACTTTAACAATCATCAGTGCCTGAATGTTTCCTGCTCACATCTTCTCTCATACCAGCCTTTCTGTTAATAACACTGAGACTGCAGCCAAGCTAGCCTGGCAGCCTTTAACTTCTAATTATTAATGACTTATAATCAAGCAAGGCTTCACTTCACTCTGTTCTGCAAAACCTCATCTTCATTCTGCTGCAGGCGACAAACACACTCCGGTTTGTTTGCATTTCATTCATCACAATCATCTTGGGCGGAGCGGCGGTGTTCCAACAAAACTGTGACAAAGAAATTGTTTGTGGGTGCTTTAAGTTAACAGTAACATGCTAACAACGAGCCGTACTGTAAAGTAAGTTTCACACAGTCAGGCTTTCTGAGTGTTCGCTGGCTTGACAAAACCTGAAAACCTGGTTATCTAGCAGGTAAAAAAAACTCAACTTATCTGCGAACCCATGAATGTGTCTCCACAGTGCATCGCTCTGGTTTGACAGAACTTAAATGTTTATGTTGAGCAGGTAGAATATTTATCGTGATCGCCATCTTTGCTCAGCGTGTTAGCATTCTAACATTTGCTAATTAGCACTGAACACAGAATACAGCTGAGGTTGATGGGAACGTCACATGTTTTGGAGGCGTTTAGTCAGAAAGTGTTGGGAAATTTACAGTTTCAACAAAACTGGTTCTAAAGCAGATTCCATTAGACCTTAGCTTCACCATGAACGTCCAGAATTCTTGAATATTCATCAAATAGTCATTGTGACGTTTCAGTCAAGAGGTGGAGCGACTGACTGTTGGTCCCACGACCCTTAAATTTTTCATTAATCCATGTTGCTTAATGGGTCAATAATTCAGAAGGATCCTGAGACTGAACTGAAGTTCTAATTATGTTCCTCAGTCTGCTCTCACATTAATCATGAGGGACTCTAATGACTTAATTCTGCTGTTATTTAAACCTAGTCTCATATTTAGCAAGTAAAGGGGAATTTTACATCCCTTGTAGAGAAAAAGACTGAGTTTATCTGCATGCACTGATTGTATGGTGAGAAGGGTATTCTGGTTTTGTTCACTAATGTTCACTAGTTGGTTACACTTTTGACAAAGCAGCTCTGTTGTATTTTTAAAAAGGTGCAATTGTGGCAAACTTGTTCACTTATATCTGCATTTTATGATTCATTCATTGATAATAATGGGCTGCAATAAAGGAGCTTATTCAGAGGGCCAATAAAGAGAAAATAAATGCATCCTTATGGAGTAAGTGCACTTCCACATTTGGGTTTAAAAGCAAGTTTGAGCCAAACATTCTGCAGCTCCGACAGACGCAGGTGGGCTTATTTGTTGTCAGCTTGCCAGTGAAACTGCTTTTACCAGTTTGGCTCTGTGTGGCTGTTTTTCTCCGTCTGAGAAGCTGTGAATATTTCTGAGCATAAATTTAACTGGTGGGTCGATACACCAGCGACTGTAAAAACAATCTCTTTTTAATGCCTCCATGATCATTTAGAGAGCATGCTTGGTGGGAGAAAACTGTAACCTCAAAGGTTTATTGCTGTAAAAAGCAGTAAAAATAAAAGCCAGGCAGAATATAATGGCTTCAGCTTGCTGCCGCACTGCTTTTTCTGGCACTTACAACTCAAATCTGCACACAGGTATTTCAGGAAGAAGGGAACTCGCTTTTCAGTAATGTCTCTGTATACCAAGTCGTCAGTTCATCACTTAAATCACCACTTACGGCATCATGTGAATCAGTGTTTGGTATAATCAGACAGAGCAGCGTAACTAAAGGGTTAGCAGAGAAAAAGTGCATTTTACGATAAAGTATGCAGCTTGCAAACACCTAAAACTGTACCAAAGCATCAGTTGAAAACTCGTAAAGAGAAGCGATATAAATAGAAAGACTTATTTTTTTACGATTCCACCATCTTCTGCAAGACTCTCATCAGCACTGATTGTTTGTTTATTCAGCGTGTGACTGAACCAAAGCCGGCAGCTTTTACACCATCACCACCATCTTTGCTGAGCCTTAACCAAGTAGTTTCAGTTAAAACTATCCAAACCTAAATCAAAGAGGAGGCAGTTCAGAAAAGACAAACAGCAACAACATGGTTTATTTTTTGTCATTTAGTTTGGGTTTTTATGTTTTTGCCATTTGTCAGTTTAACATTTTATGTTTCCTACAGCCTAAAAGCATCTTGAAAGAAATTCTGCCAGGCACGCTACACTTGTTTTGAGAGGATTTTCTATTTAATTCCAATTTATATGTTAAATTTCTTTTTTTTTTTTTTTTAAAGCTGGACTTGAGACTTTTATCTCTTCTCTTTCAAAGGCACTATATGGTGAAAATAATTATTGTTTTTGCATTTTGTGGCTGTTATAAAGGGCTGCAAGGTGGCTTGGTTGCCTCAAAGCTAGAAGATCCCTGGTTCTCAACCCGGTTAGGACACCCGGGGTCTTTGTGTAGTTTGCATGTTCTCCCTGTACAGCGTGGGTTCTCTCTGGGTTCTCCGGCTTCCTCCCACACTCCAAAAACATGTTGAGGTTAATTGGTGATTCTAAATTGTCCGTAGGTGTGAATGTGAGTGTGCTTGGTTGTCTGTTTCTCTATGTAGCCCTGCAATTCCAGCCCTCCGCGACCCTAGTGAGGATTAAGTGGTGTGTAGATGATGGATGGATGGTTGTTATAAACTTGGAGGTGCAAACTAAAACCAGGCCCACCAGGTTAATTTACTTTTAACAGCTGCTTCCACCAAACTCTTAAAATGTCTGAATGTTCTGCTGCAAGAGTGAACACAAGAGTCCTCATACACTGCCAACATCTGAGGAACTGAACACCCAGTGGATTACTGGGATTATTGATGGTCCCCACAACTATAGGAAAATCCTTGGTGTTAGCATGTTGTGAGGCTAATGTGGCTAACATTAGCTTTTCCAGTCTGTCCACAGGTCAGAGATCTGAGGAAACTGTAACACTGAGGGACAATAAGAGATGGTGGAAACATTCATTTAAACCAGTAAACAAGCACTGGGTGTGTTACTGTGTTTCCATGTTCAACCTAAACTCAGCTGCTGTTTCCATCTGTTATCTTCTCTCCTGCTCTCTGTGCTCTCATAAACTGCATTTTAATACAGCTGAACTCACAATAAAGCTGCTCTCATTTACAGATTTTCAGTTTCTGTTGTCAGACAGCAGAACGAGGATAAAACAGTGACGGAAACACAGCCCATTTAGACGACATGTTAACCAGCAGTCACTTTCAGTTGAACCAGCTGAAATACTGATTTTAAAACGTTGTCTGACAAACTCACCGAACACAGGAGTTAAAAATAACGACTGCTGAGAATTTACACAGATTTAATGTGATGTAATCCTCAGAGAGAAAGTTGGAAGACAGAAAGTCCTGGTCTCAAACACTCATTTACATATGTGTCAGTGCTTTCAATTAGAGATGCAGAGAGGGTCTTCTTCATAAAGGACCAGCCTCAGCTTAGCTGCATTTAAAGCTACAGACACTAAAACGGCCCATTGAGAACAGAACTAACACCAGGCGTTACAACCATGAAGAAAAGTGCCATCTTCGTCGAATTTTAAGCTGAAATTTTTCAAAGACACATTCAGAGGACAAGGAAGACTTTCAATAATCTGCTGAAAGGGGAACAATATGGGACCTTTAATATTTTATGATTAAACAACCTAAAGTGTCAGAATTGTCATCAACAAAATGTTCAACAGAGTCCTTAACCGGCAACCAGCATGTGAAATGCAAAAACCATGTTCTACAGTATTGTACCTGCCACGGCCTCTTCATGTTGATGGCAATGACATGGAAGCGGTAGCAGCAGAGCTCGCAGGTCCAGCAGCCTCGTTCACTGATCCACTTCAGCAGGCAGTGCTGGTGGGTGTACCGAACCGACCCGTCGCACCGGCATGGGTTCAACAAGTCCCCCTGGAGACGGACGAAGGACAAAGTATAATGATTACTGTGAGGGGCATGGAAAAAGGAAAATATTACAAAAAAGAACTGTTCTTGTTGAAAAGAAAAATAATGAAAACATTGTCATAGGAGCATAAAATACACCTCAAGGTACAACATTACATTTATTTTACAGCCTGCACATGATCCAAATATATATTGACAGAGAAACAGACTTCATTTTCCCCAGAACCTGATCACACTGTCTTTGACATTACGGAATTTTTAATATAATCTTCCAACTTTTACATTTTTCAGGATTAGAAAAGCTGAAATGATCAATAACAAATACAGACAATAACACAGGAGATAGTGGGAAAAAACAGAAATAAACAGGAAACTGTCTTGTTAAAAAAAAAAAAAACCTAAACATTTATACCAACTTTAATAGCTTTATATGGCAATTTTAAAAACAGGAGTTTGCAAAGTGCTTTGATAGACAAAACAAATTTATGATACCGAAAAGTTTTAAACATTTGCCAGTGAGCAAAAGTGCTTTCTAGCAAGTTTAAATAGTATGGTTAAGACTTTAATGTATACATGTATACAACATTATCTGACTAAGTGAAACATTATGGTTAAAGTTAATTTGCATTATGGTTGATCTGATTCAAATTATTGATCAGGATTGAGGCTGATTAAAGCATTTTATAACTGATCCTCCTGGAAAAACCTAAGCTTAATCCTTTGTTTACATCTGCTGTCAGATAGGTGGTGAAAGAGAAGAGCACAAGTATTAAACAGTAAGAGGCTCCACCTGGTGGAACAACCAGGTACTACAGCTGATCAACAATACATTTTCTGACATCATGGAGAGCAGGGATCTCCAACGCTGGTCCTCGTGAGCTACTGTCCTGCAAGTTTTAGATGTTTCTGTACTGCAACACAAATGACTCAGATTAATGGATCTCCGGCAGCTTGTTGTCAAGTTCTACACAAGTCTGTTAATGATCCATTAATTTGAGTCAGGTGTGTTGCAGTACGGAAACGTCTAAAACCTGCAGGACAGTAGCTGATGAGGACCGGAGTTGGAGATCCCTGATGTAGAGAACGCAAGTTTTCTCCATCTGTTGGAGCTTGTGGAGCCACAGTACATCCTACCGTCAAACACTACATTTAGACAGTGTTCTACTGGAGCTTTACAATGAGATTCCAAAAATGCAGGTTTTTTATTTTATTTTTTTTTAATGCATTGCAGAGATGTTCAGTTGTCAAGCAGATACATTGGATAAATGTTGACATCTTTATTGTACTAAAAGTGTATCATGTAGAAAAATGCTGTCAGATTGGGACTTGGTGCAGATACTACATATTAACTGGCTCTGATCAGGAACAAAACGTGATCAGGACATCCCTAGTTCACGTTGCACTTCCTGTGATGTGACTATTACAATATCAGTGGTGAAACAATATATTGTGTATTATATTATTTTTGTGTATTAGCTGCCCTAATAGAGACGTTCCTGCCACTATCCTTCGACAATCCACTGTAATGCAGCAAACTGGAGCTGCACTTACTACTTAATATTCATATCTTGTCTAATGTTTCTATTATTTCGACCACTCCCCATAGCACCAGTGATAGATTAAACCTCAGAATCTTTTCAGGATTTCAGAGAAACCATCTGCTTTTGGGTCAATATTGGAACCGTCTACCCAATATTAATCTTCCATCTATTTTCAAGGTCTATGTGTCAACTTTCCCATCATCTAAAAATCCTTGTTTTCAGGCCTCAGTTTGGCCTTTTTGCCGAACAGGTCATACATCAAAGAAAATACACGACTTGTTCACTGGAGGGCCTTACCAGCATCGCTCAGATCAATGATCATTTCTCAAAGCTGCAACACTCGCGGATATTAACGGCGGGATGCAGCATGACATTAATCATTACAGCCGTATCTATTTGTTCTGATGGTTTTTTTTTTTTTTTTCCTTCTTCCTTAAGGCATTCCACAAGCAGCCATTACTGCAGCTCTGACCTGCCGGACGGACTGTGAGTGGCATATTAATAGTGTATTAAGGTCAGTGGTCAGAGAGCTCGTTTTTCATCATGTCATATTAACCTTGTGGGTTTAAAAGGACCTCGGAGGCTTTTGCTTGAATGAACTGACATGGGTCCGCTATCCACTGAAGTATTGTTTGATAAAACCAACTTCAAGGACAATCTTAATATGTCTCTCAATTGTCTGAGGAGCCATTAGGTTGGAACAGTCCACTTATTTTAGTCCTACAAAGGTGAGTCGATTCATGAGTCTACAGGAAGGTCAACGAGGCTTCTGAGTGAAACGTGCAAACACAAAGACTTCCAGCTGGGAATCCAACAGGCAACGTGGTAGACGTCCAGTTCGACCACCGAGACACTCATAAAATATGTTATTACACTTAAAAATGAATTCCCTGGTTAAAGAACTGCAATAACTAACAACTTAACTTCAAGGTGCCCTGTTATGGGTCTGCATCAGTAATTGAAGTTTGCAATGCAGTTGAGCACTACACAACAAGTATGTGGACCTTGTCAGCTACTGATAGTATTTGCACCTTGACGTAAGATAATCGTTATTTTCACTATTGTGACAAGACGATCTTAGTTCCCGTTGCCCTCACTTGTTTCTTCCCAGGTCTTCATCTATAAATGTTGTTTACGATGTAGTTCAGAGCTTCCAAGCAAGTAAGTAAATGTCAAATAACTGTAATCAACTGTACTCAAGGCCTACTCATTCACTTGTTCTTCAGCTTTCAACCGTATCACATAGTCATCTGATTAAAGGAATGTAGTTGACCTCACTTCAGACAGCTTGTTAGTGAACACTGCATTTGGATTTGTGGTACATCTAAAATATGTGACCACATTTGATGTTATTTTGGTAATTGTGTGTAATTGTTTAACGTCACTTTATATTACTATAATAATATTTGCACACTTAGCGACAGTAGTCCTGTACAATTAATAATGTAGAGGGGCAGAGCCTTTAACACTACATGTTTGCAGCTCCCTGGTTGCATAGTGCGGACCAACTTCCTGTTTCTGCTCATACGCAATCTGGAGGAATTCAAGAGTGCCGATGTCGTTCCTACTCTCACACTCTACATGTATTTTGCAGGTTAGTGCTCGCTTGAAAACAACTGTGAATGAAAGCGTTAAGCTTTATATGATGTCTAGGTTGCTCAGTCGTTATGTTTTGGTGAGTTGTGTAACTTTTAATGTCAATTCGGTTGAAGACTGTTGAGGCATGGCTCACAACAGCAGTAAAGCTGAGCCGCAGCGTCGCAGTAGTTTCACGTTAGTTAGCACTATTTTCATCCTATGATTCTCCAGGTTGTTTGATGAACACGTCCAAGTGCTGCGCAAAGTGTTACAAGCTTAACAACATCACGGTGTGAAACTGAAACCTGAGAAATGCGAGTTGTTTCGCGAAGAGGTCCGATACGCTGGGCACTTGGTGTCCGCTGATGGTGTGAAAGTGGACCCCAAAGACATTGAGGTAGTGCAGGCGCTCAAACACAAAAGACCAGAAACAGTTGGAGAGGTCCGACAGCTGTTGGGATTCCTGAGCTAGTCTCTAGCTCTCAAGTATTGCCAAACCCCTGTTCGACCTACTGCAAGTCAAATCTGACATACCACAATCTAAACCAACCGGAGGCAGAGCAAAGTACTCTCAACAATCTTCTCGAGCTCCAGTATAATGGTACGAGAAACACCAAAAGAACTTAAACAGTTGACTGATATGTTGACCCAACCAACAGTGTTAGCGTAGCTGAACAAAATTACCACTTGCACAGTGGAAAACCGGAGTTCCTAGCCCTCAAGTGGGTAGTCTGTAATAAGTTCAAAGACTATTTCTTCTATGCCCCCGCATTTCACCATTTCAGACAATAACCCTCTAACGTATGTCCTAAGCTCAGCTAAACTAAACCCAGTTGGACATCGTTGGGTGGGACAACTAGCAGATTTCCACTTCGACATAAAGTATCATCCAGGAAAAGTCAACATTGATGCGGATGTCCTGTCCCATTGTCCCCTTGACATCAACGCCTTCATGAGCTCTCAGAGAAGGCGGTTGGTGCAGCTTGGGAAGGAAGCAGGAGAGCCAAGCAGGGAGATGTGCTTTGGGTAGCAGCTCTCAACTTAGCCTCACCTAACGGGCCTCTCAAAGAACCCCTCCACGTGATCAGCTATGATGAACTTGTTTGAGAACAGCAAGCAGATCCTGCCATCAGAAAATTCTTGGAGATGAAAGAGAACAACATTACGCCAAATGAAGACAACGGAGGTAAACTAGACACGAACAAAAAGAGACTTAAGAGAGTGGAGTAGATTATAGTAGACAATGACCTACTGTACAGACAGACTACAGAACACAAACAACTGGTCCTACCAGCTACTTACCGGCAGACAGCTTTGACACACCTACATAACAACATGGGTGACGTTGTAGTGGAGAAAGTCCTCACTCTAGCCTGAGAGCAGTTCTACTGGCCTTTCATGAAGAGAGAGGTAGAAGACTATGTTTCCAGAAAGTACCCATGCATCAAACAGAAAAAGCCAGCAACACACGAGAGAGCACCAATGGGAAGTATAACATCGAGTTCAACCCTTGAGCTTGTGTGCATAGACTTTTTGCATTTAGAGACATGCAAAGGGGGGTTTGAGTACATCCTAGTAGTGGTGGACCATTTTACCAGGTTTGCACAAGCCTACCCCACCAAGAATAAAGCCACTAAAACCGCAGCAGATTGGCTTTTCATTGACTTCATTCCAATTTGGATATCCTGCTAAACTTCACCACAATCAAGGCCGGGAATTTGAGAACGGACTTTTTAAATCTCTCAGACAGCTAGCAGGTGTGAGTCACTCCAGAACATCCCCCTACCACCTACAAGGCAACCCTGCTGAAAGATTAAAACGCACATTATTACAAATGCTTCAGAAGAGAAGGAAAAGCAAAACTGGAAGGATCATTTGCCCCAGGTG